TATTGGCATAGAAACACAACTACGAAAAGTTGGTCACATTTTGGAAAAGTATGAGGAAGTCGAACTAGATATAAATATCGATGGAATTCCACTGTTCAAAAGCTCTCGTGTGCAATTGTGGCCAATCCTTTGCAGAATCGTTAATATTCAGGAGAAAACAAAACCGTTTGTTGTTGGATTATACTTGGGAAACACCAAGCCGGGTAGTGTGAATGTGTATTTGAAAGACTTCATTGATGAAGTGATTCTACTAAAAGGTCAGTTTATCATACAACAAAAACATTTAAAATTGAAGTTTCGTTGCTTAATATGTGACGCACCAGCAAAAGCCTAATCTCCGATGAGGACTTTGCTGTGCGAAAGTATCCATGCCACCATTCCCAAATGTTCAAAGAAGAAAAAACTCCTCTCGAAGAAATTGGATTTGGTATGATAAATCAGACTCCTTTAGATAGCATGCATCTCATTGACCTCGGAGTCACCAAAAAAATGCTAACCAGAATAATGCATAATAAAACTGAAAAGAAAACCTCAAAACAAAATATTTCAAAAATATCTTCTGAATTGGTGAAATTTAAAAAATACATTCCAAGGGAATTCCCAAGAAAACCCAGGCCTTTAGATGATCTTTGTCATTGGAAAGCGACTGAATTTCACCAGTTCCTTGCTTATACAGGAATTATTGCTCTTTATAATAATGTACACGAAGATATTTATTATGAATTTTTAACTTTACATTGTGCTTATCGACTTCTTAACAATGCACGACATATGGATCAAAATATTGTTCAAGCTAATAATTTGCTTCAATTATTTGTCGAGAACTTCTCAACTGTATTTGGTTCGAACAGCATTTCTTTTAACGTTCATAATCTGCTTCATTTGGCTTCTTGCGCAGAAAAGTATGGTCCCCTTATTTCGTTTTCTGCATATGCATTTGAAAATAAACTGCAAACACTGAAAAAACATGTTCGAAAACCATCACATATCTTTCAACAAATTATTCAAAAGGAAAAAAATTGCATGATTGTCAACACTATTCAGGATGGGTTAAAATATGAAAAAGGTGTTATCGTTGGAGCTTTTGTAAATGATTGCTACATATCCTGCAAAGAACCAGATAATATTTGCGCGGTGAATTCATGCATTCCAATAAAAATTGATAATATAAAGAAAAAGGGCGAAATATATATTGAAGGCAGTCGAATTTTGGCATTAGAAAGTTTCTACGAAGAACCGGTGAATTCTTGTGAGATTGGTATTTTCAAAACGAATCTGACTCTAGGGGAAAAAGAGACATTTTGTATTAAAGACATTCAGTTCAAATTTGTATGCTTGCCAATTGATTCTGATTTTGTAATCGTGCCCATTTTACATTCCTGCTTTCCAGAGAAATATCAAGCACAAATTTTTACCTCCTAAGTACACAACTCCCGCACATAAACATGTCGAACGAAAATGCCAACCCTTCCAAAGGAAAAATGAAATATTTTGCTCCACAAGGTAATCTCCAAAGATTATCACTAAATTTTTAACAGTATAACAAAATTGAGTTCATATTTTTGATAGCTAATGCAAAATGTTCTTCCTGCCAAGAAAATGCCAGAAAACTAGACACGATTATTGATATTTTGGCGGAGCATAAAGTTTTACTGGATCGTGTTATTTCTCAGAACGCATTTGTGGACAATATTATGACAATTTTTCCAATTGAATCGGAAGAAAAACTTCGAGAATTTGATCGAATTCTCGCAACACAAGCAGATCTATATGTACGTATCTGCGTTTTGGGAATAACAAATTCATAACTAAAACAATTTTTACAATTGCAGACTCGACAAATGAAAAATCTCATTGCAGGTAACGCTGAACGTAATTTGCATAAAGTATTTGGAAGAAATATTATTATGGATTTTAATGTTGACGGAACTTTCGGGAAAAAAGGTCTACGAGATTTTGGTAATGTACTTGCCGCCATAATAGGTAAAACGTGTTTGTTTTTGTTTCAAATAAGTAATGCTAAAATATAGTTTATAAAACAGAAGTTATATCAACATTTAATAAATTACCTGACAAGACTTTACGAGCAGCGTTCCAACGCCAAAAGAAAAAGTATTTTAAGATCAACAAACGAAGCAGGCGCACCGAAGAAAAGGAACAAGATGAAAATGATGAAGAACCACAAATTTAACTGAATGTTTTTATGTTATACTATATAATTTTAAAATCCTAGTTCTAACACTATTCAGTTTTATTAAAAATAAGACAAGGTTTGGCCAGCCTTGAAAAAAGTGAGCTATATATGTAATCCATTTCTTAATTTATTACCTTGCCTAAAATTCGCAGACTGTTTTAGATTAATTAAATATATTGTGTGTAGATTGAACTGTGCTTTACTTTTGTTTTTGTTACTTAATAACTGCGTTAAAAATGTAACGTTGTTAAATACTTATTCTATTACAAGCATTTTCCTAAAAATCTCAAATGACTATTTGGTTCGAATGCCTCCATATGATCTCGAAAGGACTAATGGTCTTCTAGTGTTTATTTGGTTCAAATGTCTACATATAGCTCAGGATACCCAATAAAATGCAGTGATTATTTGGTTCAAACGTCACCATATAAACTTAAAAGATCTAATCTTTTTCTAGTGATTATTTGGTTCAAATGTCTACATATAGCTCAGGATACCCAATAAAATGCAGTGATTATTTGGTTCAAACGTCACCATATAAACTTAAAAGATCTTCTTTTTCTAGTGATTATTTGGTTAGAAAGATCTAATCTTTTTCTAGTGATTATTTGGTTCAAATGTCTACATATAGCTCAGGAAACCCAATATAATGTAGTGATTATTTGGTATACACGTCATCACATAATCTCAAAAGATATAATCTTTTTCTAGTGACTATTTGGTTCAAATGTCACCATATAGTCCCAAAAGAACTACTTAGTCAATATAGTCAAGGTCTACTGGTACTTCTCCTATGACAAGCCTATGTTAAATGTCCATAGGAAATTACATTGGTTGTGGTATACTTTTTCACTAGTACTAGCGACAATGTCACCAGTAAAACACTACAATTTTACTAAAGCTGCTCGCTGCAGGGTAGCTTTCGAAATACATGAACGCTTTTTTAAACGAAAGTGAGTGAGTTACTTTCTTTCGCATTGATTTTCGTTCGAAATAGAAAAACAGGCTGTAAGTGTTGAATGGAAAGAGAGTATATGGGGAAGAGAGAAGAGAATAGGTCGGATTGTAAGAATATGTCTGATGTTGAAGTATTTCGATACTACTCCTACTCTCTGCAAACATCTTAAATATTACGCAGTGACATGAAAATTATTTAATTATTTCCATTACAATGCATTTATTTTCATTCTTCAATGAAAACATCAAAATTTCTTTAGTTTCTTGTAAGACAATGTAAAAAAACAAAACATTTTGAACTTGATGAATTCAATGAATTTAAGAAATTTTTTTCCAGACTGAATAAATACATGAAAAATTGTTTTTTACATGAAAAATAAATAACAGGCCCACTGAAAATTACATTTTTATATCCTCGGCTTTGAGGCAAATTAGCGTCTTATGCACTTTGTTACAATAAAAAATGAGTCTCATCGAAATATCGGTTCGGATTTCGTCCAAAGAAACTTGAGGCTGCAGACCAAATACATTTCAAATAATTTTAATACAGTTTATCGAAAAATTGTACCTCGTATTATTCTTACCCAACCTAAATCAAGTTCACAAATAGAGATACTGATCCACTTCTTCTGGTACCTCCCACGCAAAGGGTCAAACTTATAAAGAAATTGTACATCTCATCTGAAACCAATTGAGAACCCGAATCTTTACTTATAAATCGTATGGTTTGCCCATAAGAGGTGTTACAAATTATCGGATTTTTATTTCCTAATATGCAATATCAGCAAAAGGCCACCACTAGCAGCCTTACAGGATCATATTCTTTTCAAGAAGATTATTAATCTTGCGGTTCCACACACAAGATAATTTGGCATATCGTAGTCTCTTCTTTGAGACAAATTATTTCACTGGGCCCAAGGGAAGACGTCTCAAGGTCTTAACTGCTAAGAGGGATCTTGGCCAATTTTATTTACCTCTTCGAGAGATAACACCGCCTGTAAACTTTCTTGTTAACTGGCAATGGTTTCGTTGATGGCGTTGCACGTAGCGTCGACTTGTTTGAAAGAAACCCTTTCCCAGACCATTACCAATTGAGACTATTAAAAATTATTATTTTGTTATTTAGATTCAAATTTGTACTAATCAGTCAATATAATCTTTCAATGGAATTTTGAAAATGTTCATGCTTTTCAAGTATCCATTCAGCAATGATATGATGTTGATAATCCAAGCTCATTGTCCAGAAAATAAGGTTCAATAACCCCCGCCGGACTATAAACCGCACCAAACACTCACATTCATATTTCTGGGGCGTTCCTTGCTTGATGTTTCCGACCCCAAGATGTGGGAAATGGTGCTTTTCAGATAATATCAGATAAAATTACATGCCCTTCTGTTGGAAGATATAACCAGGACCTTCAAAATATCAAAAACGGGGATTGAAACATTCTCGACTATTTTGAATATTTTTGTGAAGAAGTCTCTCTACCCATCAACTAGTCAGAATGCTATATTACAGCTATTTTAGTTGGAAATGTTGCGGAGCCATTATACATAGGCTATGCCAACATCTGTTGAAAGCAGGAAATATATTTGTTTCACCCTACAAGTACCTGGAACACTAAATTACAGCCCAATTTGTTGGAAACAATTGCCAGGATCTTCAAAATACCAAAAATGGGACGGTTATATGAGGGCTATACCTAGGGCTTACCTATATTGAACATTTTTGCAGAAGAATGTTTCTATCCACCGAGTACTCATAATGCTAAATTACAGTTATTTCAATTTAAAAAAAAAATGCCTAAAATGAGACTAACAATTTTTTTCCTCTGACCTCAAGAATGTAATACATTTTTTGAATACTTTTTTCACCCTCCAAGTTTCCGGAACACTAAATTACAGTCCAATTTGTTGGAAAATATGACAAGGACTTTAAAAATACCAAAAATGGGATGTTTACTTTAAATAAGGGTGAAGAACCACCGATCAACACTTGTTTGCTATATTGTATTTAGAATTTTTATCGAAATAATTTGGAAAATACATATGCGAATTTTGTAACAATGCAGAAGTCGGTAAGAGTGTGTGAAATAAAGAAACAATGGAATTGCAAAAATAGCCACAATCGAGTGAGTGCTTGGGAGGATTATATTTGTTTTGTCAAAGAGAAAGAGAGAGAGAGAGACAAATGAGCGCAAATAGTGGTAAAGTAGAACGAAGTAGGAAAATTATTGTGATATTAACGAAATGTTTACATATTTTGGAAAAAAATAGTCGCTTTCTCATGGTTATAAGAATTTTTTCTTATTCAAAGCAAGGTACATGTACAATATGGAAAAATTAACTATGAGTGAGATTATGAAAATATTCATTAACGTTTTTTGGTGTATATGTAGACAATGCCAGAACATGAACCTATATTAAAAAATTTTCGCAAATATACTTCTCGCCCTCCGAGAATACCTTTAATACCTTTCTATTTCTATTTTCCACATTTTATATTATATTTCTTATACTTACATAATTGTAATCTAATATAAAATATAATTTATTTATGACCTAAGATTCTTGTTTAACAACAATTTACTTTTCTTTACGTAGTTATAAAAATTTCTAGACATGCTTGTATATCAATTAATGCCATTACAACATGTAGAACTGTGACAATGTTAATAATATTATCTGCTATAAATTTATGACAAAGATTTTAATTCACTCTAAAATGTTGTTGTAAAGAATCGCCAGCAACTAAATTTACTTTGCAATAAAATATTCATTTAATTTTTATCACAATTTGTTGAATTTATAATATAAGATTTATTATTGTATTTGATTTCAAGATAATATTGTGCTAGGGAAAAGAGTTGACAGAGAGACAGATATACAGCAAAGTCCACAGACATATTTATACTATCCACTTAAAATGTAAGACATGTAATTTAATTGAAGAAGATTCAATCTGTAATGGATTATTTCATTTTTAACTGACTCAAATGAAATGGAATAAGAAGAAGAAAATAAAAGTAATTTCAGTTGTGTTTTGTTGAAAAGCCAAATGGTATAATTTACAGATTTTTTTTTAATCAGTAATTACCCCCCACTTTGAATATTAACATATTTAAAATTATCTATTGAAATTACGAAAATTATCTGAAGGGCAAGAATCACATTCGAATCTTGCAACACATTAGATACATATATAAGGTGCCCTAAGCATCCTATTGTAAGGCATACTGAATGATGGGTGATATTTGCATCGATTTTAATAACACTTGACACACTTCATTCTATAATTACTTTCGAACTATATTCAATATTTCGTGTCAATTGGTGCAACGTCTACAATATTTCGGACGAAAATATATATGGGATATCTATTAAAAAAATCAAACTCATCACTTGTGCCACATAGAACTCCCCATGCGAAATTTCATGTCAATTGGTTAGACGTAGTGTCATTCTTGAGACATTTTCATAAAATCCGACATCAAAAATCACCTTTTTTGTAGATAAAGACAATTTTATTAGTTAAGTACTTTTGATTTCTTACTTAAATTGCATACATTTAAACAACAATAGCACAAAGATGTTATCCATTTCTGATGATATACCATCTGATCAGTTATTTTAGTTGAATTAAAATATGACATGCCAACCGATTTTGTCGTTATGCCATTTCAGACGACTTCTTTAAACATTCAATTCAACATAACGAAATTCACAACAACAACAATATTCCTTTTTGCCAAAAACAAAAAAAAAACACCATTCAACAACATATCAACGATTTATATTTAAATGCAAATCACGTAAATTACTTATCGTTGCTGGTAATTTTTGAACAGACACCCGGTCTCGCATGGAACAGCAGGAGCGGCAAACGCCATTCAAAGAATGTGTTAACAAACAAACATGTAAACACACACCTACGAAATGCCTCAGATGCATGCATTGAAACATATATACATACATACATATTTATATGTGTTTATTTATTTTTATGTATGGAGTCGTGAGATATTACAATCACGCACATATACCACCTACCATCATACACTACATACACCAAAGGGACACATACGAATATTGTAATGACGATATCAAGAAGTCATCAGTGGAAATGTAAGCCATACACAAAAATAAATGTAATTCTC